CTTTCATTTAGAAAGTCAGGGGTAGGCCGGGCGCGGTGGCTCAAGCCTGTAATCCCAGCACTTTGGGAGGCCGAGACGGGCGGATCACGAGGTCAGGAGATGGAGACCATCCTGGCTAACATGGTGAAACCCCGTCTCTACTAAAAAATACAAAAAAAACTAGCCGGGCGAGGTGGCGGGCGCCTGTAGTCCCAGCTACTCGGGAGGCTGAGGCAGGAGAATGGCGTAAACCCAGGAGGCGGAGCTTGCAGTGAGCTGAGATCCGGCCACTGCACTCCAGCCTGGGAGACAGAGCGAAACTCCGCCTCAAAAAAAAAAAAAAAAAAAAGAAAGTCAGGGGTAGTTGCAGGTATGGCAGACTTAGGGGCTCATTGGGTCAGCAGGACTCCATGTTTCTCAGATCTGGGCTTCCTTCTGAATTCTTTCCTGTTGGCTCCATTTTTAGGCAGCCTGTCCCCTCCTAGTGGCAGGTAGTGACAATGAAATGCAGAATTTTGATGTGTCCAGAGGAAATTAAGCCACACATATGCACACACTTGCATGTGCATGCATGCCCACACACACACACACATACAGAAATATTGCTGAATAATGCCAACAGAAACTTGTTCACAGGGTGTAACTGGAGAGAGTTTCCATGAACAGAAATGGGGCCTGCCTTTGGAGAGAGTTCTCTTGTTTTAAGAGAAAACAAAAACTGGCAGTAGACTCGAAACAAGAGGAAATGTAAGCAGGTGGGAGGTCCTTTGGGTCAGAGTCTTCCTGGTCTAAGTCTGGCAGGACAACCTGCTTGCTTCCCAGCCTCCCTTGCAGCTAGGTTGGTCATGTGACCCTGTTCTGGCCAATGAGGCACAAGCAGAAGCCAACTTGGACGAATCCAGGCAGACTTTTTGCTGTCCTTGGAAAGGAGGACAGTAGCTGAGGCCTGGGCCGAACCTTCCCCTCTTGTCCTTGAGCACTTGAGCTAGGTTCACCAATGCTGCTTCTCTCCTCCTGGACCAAAGCCATGCCACAGAGTCCCAGCTTAGGAAAAGGTTTAGTTCTTGCTAAACCACGCCTATCTATCATCTATCTATCTATCTATCTATCTATCTATCTATCGAGTTAGAGATGTAGATATATAATAGATATACACAACATATACATATATACACACATATATTCATGTATTCTTAATTCTTAATTGATGTGGTTTAGCAAGAACTAAACCTATATATGCAACTCTCTCTCTCATATGTATATATATGCAACACACACACACACACACACACACACACATATATATATATGCAGAGAGAGAAAGTCTTGCTCTGTTGCTCAGGCTGGAGGGCAGTGGTGCCATCATAGCTCACTGCAGCCTCAAACTCCTGGGCTTAAGCAATCCTCTTTTTTTTTTTTGAGATGGAGTTTTGCCCTTGTTGCTCAGGCTGGAGTCCAATGGCATGATCTCGGCTCACTGCAACCTCCACCTCCTGGGTTCAAGTGATTCTCCTGCCTCAGACTCTCGAGTAGCTGGGATTACAGGCACCCGCCACCATGCCCAGCTAATTTTTGTATTTCTAGTAGAGACGGGATTTTACCATGTTGGCCAGGCTGATCTCAAACTCCTGACCTCAGGTGATTCACCTGCCTTGGCCTCCCAAAGTGTTGGAATTACAGGCGTAAGCCACCGTGCCTGGCGTCAAGCAATCCTCTTGCTCAGCCTCCCAAAGCGCTGAGATTAGAGGTGTGATCCACCACAGCCAGCCAAGAATATATATATATTCTTCAATTACAAAAGCAATATGTACTCAATGTAAAAAGTTAAAATAATACCAAAGTATGTATAATAAGTGCAGTTCCCTCACCTCCCCTTGTCTCCCTAAATCCTGACATAGTAGCCACAGTTCATGCAGAGGTAGCCACTCTTCATGGTTTTGGGAGAATCCTCCAGACCTTTCCCTGTGCTATATACAAACATATATATATATATATATATATATATCCACATATGTATATATGCATATGTACGCGCCATCCTGCAGCTTTCCCCACTGAAGTCCGTGATGTCCACCCACATGAACGTATCTAGATCGGCCTCATTCTTTTGTGTGGCTCCAGATGGCCCCATGCTGGGTAGGTATTCCTCTGTGAGTGGACACTGAGGGCATAATTTCTTCCACGAGAATACTAGTATTTGTAACTTCATTGTCTGATTTTTCCAAGAAAAAAGAAGCCACTGTGATTGTTCTCATCAATGACATGTAGTGCATGGCCGCTGTGTACAGGACACTGTAGTTTACTTAGGGGTGTGGGACAGAACGGGATGGGATGCCCACTCCTGAGGGCCTGGCTGAGTGGTGGGGAGAAGTATGTCAAAAGGTAAGGTCACTGCCTGAGGACTGAGTGAGGTTGCCTGGGAGGAGAGGTGTTTGCTGGGGTGGGCCTCACGGCAGGAGAGGCCTTCAGTGTTGGCTCTGGAACCCTGGGGAGGAGTCCGTGGAGGGAGGGGTGGTGGGGTAGGGGTGCCCCGGGCCGGGGAACAGGGTGGCCAGAGATGCCCAGGCAGGAAGAATGAGCAGACCTGCTCTTCAGGTGTACCTAGGAAGCACGGTTTTTTCTGACAACGGTGAAATTAAGGTGCCAGAATTCATTATCTGGCCTTTCTCCGTGCTGCGAGGCCCATGCTTGCTTGTGTGATGGCATTCTCTCTCTCTCTCTCTCTCTCTTTTTTTTTAATAAAAATAACTATGAAGGGTTCAAGGCGCCTTTCTTTCACGACATCCCAGCTCTTAGGTCCCAGCGGTGCATCGGTGGCAAAGAATGTCCCCTGTCACCACGGCTGCTTGCCTTTATTTGAAGTGTCTGGCAGAGCTATCTCCCTGTGACATGCTTCTTTCAGAGCGAATTATTCATCCCCCCGCGGCCCCCACCTCTCCCGGCCTTGGGCTCTGTTCATCCCCGCAGGTGTGAAGACAGGCCCGGCCTTTGTGTGTGAGGAGCTTGCCCCCTCCTTGGCTCCCCTCTTGGATCCCCTCCAGGCCTGTCAAGGCTTTCCTCGCTTGCTCCGGGCCCTGCGGTGTGTGCGGGGCTGATGTCTCCTGTCATCCAGGGAGGGCTGCGCAGCCTCCAGCCCTCCTCTAATCTCCCCCTCTACAAAGGGCAGCCCTGTCACTCAGGGGGACAGCGGGGAACCTGGATCCGGGGCCACACAGTGAAGCATCCACCCTGCCTGAGTAGGAGGAAGCAGCCTAGCAGAGGTGGCTGTTGAGGCAGAGGGCAGGTGGGCAAGGGCCTGGGTAGAGAGAGTGAGAGCTCAGCTATCTTAAGCCACTGAAGTCAGGTAGCCAAGCTTATTTTAGTGGAGTACGCAAGTGGCAAGGGCCAGGCACAGTGGTTCACATCTGTAATCCCAGCACTTTGGGAGGCTGAGGCGGGAGGATGGCTTGAGGCCAGAATTTCAAGACTAGCCTGGGGAACATGGCGAGACCCTGTCTCTACAAAAAATAAAAAAAAACAAGCCAGATGTGGTGGCGCCCACCTATAGCCCCAGCTGCTCAGGAGGCTGAGGTGGGAGGATCACTTGAGGCCAGGAGGTGGAAGCTGCAGTGAGCTATGATTGCACCTCTGCACTCCAGTCTGGGTGACAGAGTGAGACCCTGTCTCCAGCAAACAAATAAATAAAACAAATGGCACAGAGCAAGCTGGCCAATCCTGGTAGTGCTGGCTAATGGTTAGTGCAGAGGGGGCAGTCTCAGTGGCTGTCTTGGGGCCATCCTACAAAAATGAAGGAGGCACCTACAGAAATAGGGTCAGCTTCCCCATCCTCCACCAGACTCCAGAATTCTTCCTCGGCCTCCTGCATCAGTAGTGATGAAAAACTGATGCAGTGAGGTGGGGTGGAGTGAGCAAGCCAAGACCAGCCTGGTGCCCAGGGCCAGGAGCCTGCTCTTTTGAGCCTCTGTCCCCTGTGTGTCCACAGGAAGCACAGTGCCTGCTGCCCGGGGGGGCTAAAGACACAGGATGGGTCCCGGTGGTGGAGGTGCCCGGGCAGCACCTGCATACAGCAGGTGTTCACTGTTGGTGTTGGATGGTGGCACAGAGCAGAGGCAAAGCAATGTGCTGCCTGCAGACAGGCTTTTGTGACCTACCCCGTGTCTAGAAATGTATCTTCTGAGTTACTAACAAGGAAAAATGTGGCCACGCAGGGCCCACCTTACTTCAAGGCAATAGCAGGCTGGGTAGAGCAGCGCTGCCCCTGGAGATGGCACAGGGTCCCCTCTGCCTGCACCCCAGGGTTCTCCTCCACCTCCCACCGCTCCCCCTCTGTACACCTCACTCGGTCACATGCTTTTGCTGGCTTCTGAGACATTGGAGGTTGAGAGCTCTGGGACCTGGAGCAGACTTGGGTTTGCATCCCACTACTTCATTCGCGACCTGTGTAGCCAGCCTTGCTGAGCCTCAGTGACTTCTTCTGTAAAATGGGACTCACGATCCTCACCAAATGAAAAGAGCAAGCATACATCACCTGCCCTTGAACCTGAAACAGAGAGCGGATTCCCAACCACAGAGAAGACACTGTGGCTGCCTTGCCATGGCTCACCGCTGACAGCACAGTGTGCACCCCACAGGGCTCAGCTTCCCGCGGGTGGGCAGTGTGACCCAGGCAAGCAGGCAGGGCTGCCAGGGCCTTGGCCAGCAGGGAGCTGGCCCAGCAGGGAGCAGGCAGGAGCTGTGGCCAAGGGTCTCTGGAGGAGGCTGCGTCTCTGCAGAGGGGACCCCTCCTGAAACACCCTCCAAGCTGGAAGCTGGCTCCTCAGAGGGGAAAACAGGTGCTGCGGGCGACTCTGAGCTCCCCACTGTAAATTAATCCACCCGAGCAATTGGGAACAGAAAGTGCTTCCTGTCCCGGCCTGAGACAATGGACAATAAACGCAGCCAGCCTGCTGGGCCCCGGCCCCTGACCCCAAGGCTTCAGGAAGAGGCTCCCACACACACACACCTGCGGTGTGCGAAGCTCGCATTGTTCTGGGCTCACAGCCCGAGCAGGGGCCCTTGCTCTCAGGAGCCTCCAGCTCTTTCTGGACCTGAGCCCCGGGAGCCTTCACTACGCCCAGATGTGCTTCCTGTGGAAGGAGACCCACAGATGACACAGGTGAGCAAGCGTCCTTGGGTTCGGGTTCATTTAATGCATATTCTTGAAGCCCCTACCACACACGGAGCCTGCACACCAGCGGCACATTACAAAGCCTTTCCAGAAAGGCTGTGGTCTCACACCGAGCACCAGACAGTGCCCGGACCTGCCCCTCTCCACCGAGCACACAGACAGGGCCACATACATCCTGCTGGGGAAGGCCCAGTTGAGGCGGCTCCTTGGAGTGAAAGGCCCGGAGATACCAGAGGCTCCTGGGACGTGAGGCTCCTTCTGAATTTCTGAGGCTGATAACCGAATACTCTTGACTTGAGTAGATGATGAGCTTGTGGAACATGGTATGCATGTGCACTCCACCATGAAGTTAGTAATCATTCTTGCTTGCTGGGGCCATGTGTGTGTCCACATTTTGTCTTTTAATTTTTTTTTTTTGAGACGGAGTCTTGCTCTGTTGCCCAGGCTGGGGTGCAGTGGCGTGATCTTGGCTCACTGCAACCTCTGCCTCCCGGGTTCACGCCATTCTCCTGCCTCAGCCTCCTGAGTAGCTGGGACTACAGGCACCCGCCACCATGCCCATCTAATTTTGTTTTTGTATTTTTTAGTAGAGACAGGGTTTCACCGTGTGAGCTAGGATGGTCTCGATCTCCTGACCTCATGATCTTCCCGCCTTGGCCTCCCAAAGTGCTGGGATTACAGGCGTGAGCCACCGCCCCCAGCCTCATTTTGTCTTTTTTTTTTTTTTTTTTTTGAGACGGAGTCTCGCTCTGTCGCCCAGGCTGGAGTACAGTGGCGTGATCTCAGCTCACTGCAAGCTCCACCTCCCGGGTTCACGCCATTCTCCTGCCTCAGCCTCCCAAGTAGCTGGGACTACAGGCGCTGCCACCACGCCCGGCTAGTTTTTTGTATTTTTAGTAGAGACGGGGTTTCACCGTGTTAGCCAGGATGGTCTCGATCTCCTGACCTCGTGATCCGCCCACCTCGGCCTCCCAAAGTGCTGGGATTACAGGAGTGAGCCACCGCGCCCGGCATCATTTTGTCTTTTAATGATTAATGGACTAGCACAGTCTTAGAGAAGGAAAGAGCAGAGGTTCTATGTCCAGTCAGTGGGGAACTGGGAGATTCATTCAGAAAGGCTTTGGGCAGGAACCGGGTCCGGGTCACTCTTTGAAAGGGTGGATCTCCCATTTTCCTGCAGAAAATCTGAGCAGCAGGTGAATCCGAAGGACTGCCCGGAACCCCAGAGCATGGCAGTGGGTGAGCAGACCTCCCTGTCCTGGGCATCCCTGTGGCCATGGAGCTCCTGGGTGAGCAGCTGCTCTGAAACAAGTCTGGTGAAGAACACAGCAGGACTCCTGAACATCCTTCATTAAAATAAACATTTATCTATGGAAACCAGAACTGTCCTTGGCGCGTGGCTCGTGGACGTGCTGGGCAGCTGGGTGGGGAGGGTGCACGGGTGGAGCCTCAGCTCGGTTTCTTTCTCTGGGTGGTGTCCCCACTGCCGGGCTTCTCCCGCTCTCAGCTCTCTGGGGAGGTCCCCTGTGAAGGGCCTGTCTTTCCTGTCCCCTCCCTCGGATCATTAATGAACCACTCTCTCTCTCTTTTTCCTTTTCAGCGATTGGGCTGTTGGAATCAAAGAGGCCCTCCGGTGACTCAGGCGTTTCCCATTGCCCTATTCTAGCATCCTCTACTCTTAGCACTGAGAGTTTTTCACGTCCTATTTGGAACTGATAGGAAACCCTTTCATTGTTTCGCTACATGGATATTAGCACTGATGAAGGAAGCGCTCCATCAGATAGTCGTCCGCTGCAGTGAGCTGGTTTCCAGCACGAGCCTGCCTAGACTCAGCGTCTCCCGCCTCCAGGGACCCCCAGAATCTCAGCCCCTAGGAACCCTGGGCCAGGGTGGACGGAGGCTTCTAGGTATTGTGGGGTCTCTGGCACCAGAGACACTCAGGGGTCTGGGGACCGAGTTTGGCCCCTGTACCCACCCACTACCATTTGACATGGTGAGACAGAGATGACGAGCTCAGGCAGGGGATGGCTTCTGCAGTGCCCACAATGTGCCAGGACTCTGCTCTGCCACTGTGGACCTTTCCTCACCCCTCGCTCCCAGGCATCAAGCTGTGGTTTCCAGTTGTGCTCCTTGAAGCCCTCGGGCTCCCTGGTGACAGTCACAGAGCCTCTGAGCAACTTCCCTTTCAGCTATTTTCCATGACCTATTCCTGGGTAAGGCTTCATTTGAACGAAGGGTTCTGCTGCTAAAAAAAAAAAAAAAAAAAAAAAAAAAAAAAAAAAAAAAAGTTGGAAAAGCCATCACCTGATCACAACTTTCTAAGGTAGATATTTTGTTTTGCAATGAGATATTTGCAGTGGTTTTCACTAAAGCCTGATCTTCCCACCCGACTGTTTGCCTGTGAGGATGAGGACGTGTCTATCACAATCAGTATGCCCTGAATGAACCAGCGTCACCCTCCTCCCCCTAGTGAGAGATAAGGACCTCAGGCTCAGAGAGGTTATGTGATTTTTCTCAAAGCCACACAGCAAAATTTGGAACCGCAGGTGAGCCTTACTTCTCTTCCTGGGCGAGCCTGCGGTCAGGGGCAAGGCTTTTTGATGATAAGAGTGAGGTGGAGCCAGCTCTAGATTGGGGGTGGCAGAGGGAAAAGGAGGAGGGGGGTTCCCGAAGCACCATTCTGCTTTCTGTGAGAAGGGGTTTCCCCTCAACAACTTCTGTCCCATTTTTCAGAGCTAAAGTGACAAGCCACATCCACGTCCCTGGGTAAAGGTGCTCCCCTTGCAGGAAACACATGTGCACTTGGGATGGAGCCCTCTGTGCGGGAGCGGCTTGCTCACCTCTCATCAGGCGCCAGCTGGGTGGGTCTCTCCCAGCTCTCGAATCCTAACTGCAACCACCATTTATTCAGCACCTGTTATGCACCAGGCACTCTATGTGTGTTGTTGCTAACCCTCAAAACAAGCCCTTCCCAACATAACCGTTTTTGTGCCCAACAAAATGGTCTGAAACTGACACCCAGAGAGGCTGAATGACTTGCTCATAGTCACACAGCAGGCAGTAGCAGGCAGTGGGGAAGTCGGCTCTATGGATTATACACCTGGGCTCCTCCAGGCCTCTGTGCTGCCAGGCCTGACACCCTAGCATGTTGGGTGTTCAGAGGTGCCTGGGAAGCTTGTTAGAAGTGTAGATTCCAGGCCTCCTTACCCTTAAAGATTGTGACTCAGTAGCCCGGGGCAGGGCCCAGGCATCTTCATTTTGACAGGCCGTCCTGGTGGCTGCCATGCACAGGCAGGTTTTGGGAACATCATGGGTCGATGATTCCTGGTCTCCCCAGCCCTCTTGGCCTGGCCACAGAGAGCTGCCTTTCCAGCGAGGTCAGCCGAGATGATGCTGCTGGGAGAGCAGTCTCCTCTGCCGTCTCAGGACGGGACTCCTTGGAAGAACGATGAGTCTGAGGGCTCCGGTTGTCTTGGCCTGAGACAACCCAAGGTCTTTTAACAGGAAAAAACCTCACCTATTCCCAGTGTTGATTTCATACCTTTATTTTATATATCTATTTTTATTGTGGTGAAATACCTATAACAATAAAATTGCCGGGTGCGGTGGCTCATGCCTGTAATCCCAGCACTTTGGGAGGCCAAGGTGGGTGGATCATGAGGTCAGGAGATCCAGACCATCCTGGCTAACATGGTGAAACCCCGTCTCTACTAAAAATACAAAAAATTAGCCGGATGTGGTGGCGCACACCTGTAGTCCCAGCTACTCAGGAGGCAGGAGAATCGGTTGAACCTGGGAGGTGGAGGCTGCAGTGAGCCGGTATTGCACCACTGCACTCCAGCCTGGGCGACAGAGTGAGACTCTGTCTCAAACAAAACAAAACAGAACAACAAAACAAAACAAAACAAAACAATACCATTTACCACCATAACCATTTAAGGTGTAGAGTTCATTGGCATGAAATATAATCACATTGCTGTGCAACACTCACCACTATTCATCTCCAGAATGTTTTTCATTGTCCCAAACTGAAATTCTGCACCCATTGTACACTGACTCCCCATTCTCCCTCTTCCAGCCCCCTTCTACTTCTCTGTGTCTGTGAATGTGACTGCTGGGGATCTCATATGAATAGAATCGCATAGGACTTGACTTTGTGTGCCTGGCTTATTTCACTCAGCATCATGTCCTCCGAGATCACTGATGTGGCAGCACAGTTCAGAACCTCCTTCCTTTTTAAGGCTGAGTCCATTGTGGGACAGGCCGCATTCATTTGTCTATTCATCTGTAGATAGACACTTGAGTTCTCCCGCCTTTTGGCTATTATGACTTTGGCTTATTTTAACATTATATAAATATGAGGCCAGGCACGGTAGCTCACACCTGTAATTCCAGCACTTTGGGAGGCTGAGGTGGGAGGATCGTTTGAGCCTAGGAGGTTGAGGCCGCAGTAAGCTGAGATCAAGTCACTGCACTCCAGCCTGGGCCACAGAGAAAGACCCTGTCTCTAAAAAGTCAATCAACCAATCAATCAATCAATCAATCATTCAATCAATCTGTGCTCACCTAAAACTAAACATTGGTACTTTCTACTTCTTCAACAAGATGAAAATGAAAGATAAGTTAAATCCAATCAAAATTACAAGACGAATAAAATTCAAGTGAATGGTATTAGTTTGTGCCAATGGATGATGTTGTCTTGCTTGAAACAGGAATGTGGTGCTGATGGCCTCAGTGCAGCTTCCGTGGAATCTGGCACATTCTCTAACCACTGTGACAACTCAATTTCCTCCTCCTTGTCTCTATTTGAACTACTGCAAAGCCTCAGTGTTTTAAAACACATCCAAGTGCCATTGCCCTTCTCTTGTCATGAACATGTCATTTCCATCTGACATCCACCTTTCTTTCCTTAGTATCCTGTGGACATTAAAGTTTGATCAGGCCATGATCAAACTGAACATTGGGACTGGAATTTTGCAGATGTCCTTGGTTAAAAGGTCACTATGCAAATAATCATGGGAAATGACGTCCTAAAGTTAAAAACTCTTGGTGAACTAGCAGTCTGAAGACCATGACCACTGGCCCCAGCTTCAGAGGCGGTGGTCCAACCTCCTCTTCAGGTCGCTTCCACCTGCCTGTGGAGTTCTCTGTTGTCTGAAGTTACTCTATGGGCGCCCAGGGTATCAGGAGGCTTCAAGGCTGTGCTGACTGACTGCAGATAGCCTCTCAACCTATTTCCAAATCCGAGTCCCCACAAGGCACCTGTTGGTTTCTTCTCCACTTTTATTTATTTATTTAAAGACAGGGTCTTGATCTGTCCCTAGGCTGGAGTGTAGTGGTGCAATCACGGCTTGCTGCAGCCTCAACTTCCTGGGCTCAAGCCATCCTCCCGCCTCAGCCTTCTGAGTCGCTGGAGGCCACAGGTGTGCACCACCATGCCTGACTATTTATTTATTTATTTTTGTAGAGATGGGGTCTCACTTTATTGCCTAGGCTGGCCAACTCGTGCCCTCAATCAATCCTGTCACCTCAGCTCCCCAAAGTGTTGGGATGACAAGCATGAGTCACCGCACTCTGTGACTTTTTCACTTTTAATTCCCAATGCATCGCCATGCAGAGAGGCTGAGCAAGATCTGAGATCGGAAAAAGGAAAAATCCCCTCCCCAGATTATGGACCCTGCAGCATGCCTTTGGCATTTGGGACCTCTCTTTCCCCATTTCTTTCTTCTTTTCTCCCCCAGGCATGGGCCTTGCAGAACTTTTATTATTATTTATTTATTTACTTTGAGATGGAGTCTTGCTCTGTTGTCCAGGCCGGAGTGCGATGTCATGATCTTGGCTCACTGCAACCTCTGTCTCCCGGGTTGAAGCGATTCTCCTGCCTCAGTCTCCCAAGTAGCTGGGATTATAGGCGCCCGCCACCACGCCCAGATAATTTTTTGTATTTTTAGTAGAGATGGGGTTTCACTATGTTGGCCAGGTTAGTCTCAAACTCCTGACCTCATGATCTGCCCACTTCGGCCTCCCAAAGTGCTAGGACTACAGACGTGAACCACCGTGCTGGCTTGAACTTTTATTATTTTTAACAATACGAGTCACCATTATTGAGCACCAACTATATGCCAGAGACTGTGCTAAGTTGTTAGAACAATTTTTTTAGAGATGGGGTCTTGCTATGTTGTCCAGGCTGGTCTCAAACTCCTAGCCTCAAGTGATCCCTCTGCCTCAGCCTCCCACAGTATTGGGATTACAGGCGTGAGCCACGCTTCTGGCCTATACTAAGTTCTTGACGCCCACTATCTCTGTGTCCTCAGCAGGCCCCAGGAAGGACCGTAGTGCTTCTGCTCCCCACATGGGGACCTTCAGAGAAGTCCAGTAGCTCT